GGTAGTTTAGCCCAATACCAATTCCATAGCAAAAAAAAAAGTACAAGAAGTTAAGCGTATCACACATTGTGGTAGACAAACTCCTAAATTCAAGTATATATATATATATATATATATATATATATATATATATATATATATATATATATATATATATATATATAATATGTTTTAGAACTAAAATAAAATTTAACTTTCTTTTCTTATTATATTTTTATCTCTGTAAAAAAAATAATAACAGTAATTATAATAAATATTTTTACATAATTTTTCCTTACATCTTTTTATCTCTATCCACATTTTATCTTCATACTATTATCTTTTCCTATTATTTATTTTTCACTTAGTTTAACTTTTTATATTCGACCATCCCCTTCTCACCTTCTCACTTTTACATTTTTATTTTTTTTCATCTATCATTTATTTATTTTCATATTTTTCTTTTGAATAGTTTTAATTACCTTATAACTCAAAAATTTAAATTCTTCTTTTTAATTTTTAATTATTTTTCTTTTTCCATTTCTGATTTATAACATAAAAATTATAATTTTTTATTATTTAGTTTTTTTTTCTCCATGTTGGAGACGTCAAGTATTAGCAATCGGTAAATTATAAAGTAAAGGAGATTCTCTGTAATATTTTTTCTTGAAGTGCTTAAACACTTTTTAATAGTTTGGTGAATTGTTTTTTAAATTAATTAATTTTTTAAATATTTTATGATATTTTATTTTAATATTAAAATATAAAAAGAAAAATCAAATTGAGTTTTAGAGATGGGTAAGAAAAAAACTATAAATCAATTTTGCAAGAGAAAAAAAATTAATGATAAAATAAACTTTAATTTACCAAATTTAAATTCAAAAATATTATTTCAAATGAAACAATTTATAATACAAACCACTAATTAACCTGTTCAACCACCTTATTTTAAAATATGATGATGAAATATAATTTGTTATTATTGATTTAAAAAACACTCTAATTTAATATTGTTTTATATTAATTTTAATGTATATATATTAACTAATTTAACTCATATTTAAAATTTTTTACTTCGCAAGTTATGGTTGAAACACGATAACAGATGATGATCATTAGCTAAATATGACCAATCTTAAATAATTAAGATATGTGAATTCAGTTAAGGATGTTCGAATTCTTCGAAGATTTTATGAATTCAATAAGTACAATTTTTTTAAGCATGAAAAAACCATTAGAAATTGAATGAATTCAATGAGTAAAAAAAACTTAAAAGGAGTGACAATAAAACAATGGTTACATATACTATATAGTTTGTAACTGACTTAAACAATTTAAAAAATTATATGAAAATTGCTTATTGGCATTGCTATCTCTAAATATTTACTTCTACTACAATTACCAACATTAAACAATTAGGAGCGTTCATTGGTTTTTTCTGCGTTTGTAAATAGTTTTACACCTTGCAATGCACAGAAACATTTTAATTAATCAATAAATATATGAATTTGCTAAATACGAAAATTTTATTGCAAACTTGATGCAAAAACAAATAATGTATAAAAATTCACTCGTATATTTTCCAATATTTTCTTAAATCACACCTATATTTTCTTTGATTAAAAAAAACAATTATCTAATCTACACTTTAACTAAAGTTGCAGTTATAAAATTTATTTTGTTTAAATATAAACTTGTATTAAATTTACAAGTAAATATAAAAATAATTAATAATTTTTTCATATATTTTACAAATGTTTTTTATATTAAAAAAGTCATTTTTTATATGAAAAACTATAATTAGATGCACCACAGAACTTTAACATGTAATAATTAAATTATTTACTTTTATAAAAAAGTCTTCGATCTTTATTTTTTTAATACTTAAATTGATAATCTTCATAAATTTATTTTGTTTAAGTTTTATTAAATAAAAATAGAGATATAAATATTAGTTTATGGAAAATGCAAGTCTATCTAAAGATAGACCGTGTGATAATTATTTGACAATAATTTACTTGGGGTTGAAATGTATTATAGGTTTTAAAGGTGTTCTAATAAAATAAAAATAAAAAAAGACGCAAAAGTTTGCAGGAACGTTGTTATGTTACAAAAGTTGTGGAGGCATGAATCGGTGTGCGTGTGGCCACATGCCCATAGACAAATCGGGAGCTATTTAGATGAGGGAAAATGACAGTAATAAAAAAAGCAACTAAGTGGCGGAAAACCTTTCCAACGTCTACAGGTGGTGACCTAAGATGGGACCCATCTGTTCCCAGTTTTGGAGAAAAACCTTGTGCACATTTCTTTTCGGGAATTTCTTGTCACAAATCAATGTTGGCATGTTCCATGTTTCCCCATCTTCTTATTTTATTCTATTCAATCAATTTTATTTTATTTCTTCTTTAAGTTCATACTTCCAAATAAAGCCTTTTTTTTATTTTTACTTCAAATTTTATTCACTTAAAACGGTATTCTTCAACGTGAATGTTTCTTCAAGTTTCTCTCTATATCTAAAGCCCAATCACCAATCTTGTACATTTTATATCTTTCACAACACAGCAATCATAATTCTCGTTTAACAAAGTCTAAGTTGAAATAAATAAAAAAGGTAATTTGTTATTGTACATATTTGATGTTTTGTTTTTGTGAACATAGCAAAAGCCAAAGCAACGTATGATTTATCATTTTACAGTTATTGAAACTTTGTCTATATGTAATAATTTTGTCTTGACTCATTTTTCTCTCACTTCGCACTTTTTTCTGGTTGACACGCAACACTCTTTTTTGTTTTTTTTTCTTTAGGTTGAGGGATGGTGTGGATTTTTCCTCTCCCGTTGCTCTGCCTTGCTTTGGTTGATTCTTTGAATATTGGAATTGGGTTATGTTTACTAATAGATTTTTTTATTTGATTAGCAACCGTAAATACTTTTTAATTTAAAGAATTTTTTTATTTACCTAATTATTATTGGTCATTCAATAATTAACACGACATTGATTTTTATCGGTGATCATCCATGTCAAAATTAAAAACAAATGATGATTAAGGAGAAATTAAGTTCATCGCACAGTTCTATTTCCAATCAGAAAGAAGGGTATGGAAAACAAGGAAACAAAAAATATTCAAATTAAGTTCTCCTTAGTACGTGATAACAATAAGCAACCAAATTAATATGTAATAGAATATATAACATGTATTAAATAAAAACAAAGACAAAACGAGAAAATATATGCACATCTCAATATTTTCAATATGAATTTTTAACATCTCTCTTTTATTTATAGCAGAAGCAAAATTAGTAATGTCTTACCCTGTCACGTAATAATGTATACTAATAATTTTTTTATGTAGATATTTTTTGTTATAATGTATACTAATAATGGAGACCCAAAGAATTATCCACATCAATATTATTTTTTTCAAATAAAATGTTAGCTAATCAATATTAATGTTTTCTTATGGCAAAAGTACCTCATATAAGCGGTTTAAAGAGCAAAATAATTGAAATTTGTTTTATTGTTAACATTAAGTGAGGACTTATCATATAAAATTTTTGAAAAATGTTGTTTTTCATTACTTTTTCATAAAATTAGAAAAAAAATTCCTAGTTGTCAAATAATTGAATAGTTAAATAAAATATCAAGTTACTTAAAAAAAACTTACATTATTAATAATAATAATAAAAAACTCAATTACTTTCAACCAAATTTATGAATTCTGTAAGTAGCATAAAATGGTTCACAAAAGAGTGTGCGACATAGTAAAGAATTCATGTATCTTCGTAATTCAAACATGTTATAAGAATAGTTGTATTTGATATTATTTATACATGTGCAATCGAAGTATTTAATTAATTTCATTTTTTATTTTTTTTATCATTCATAAATCTTCTACAGTATTTTCTTTTTTAAGATATAATCATTCAGTTATATAAGAAAAGTAGATTTAAAATGAATGTCAATAACAACGCTGAACTAGACTAGATGTCAAACTAGACAAAAGACTATGTTGAGTTCCCAACTCTTATACAGTTCTTATTATTATTATTTTTGTTTCTATACATTTATCATTTAAAAGCTAGGTTCAAATATCAACTATTGATTTTTATTATTTATTTCATAAATATTCTTATTATTTTTGTATTTTATCTTCATTGAAAAGCACTCATAATAATTTATCTTTTCTTTACATCAAATAATTTTAAAAATAAAAGTATAATTAATAAAAAAAAGATAATTCGTGTAATATTTAATTTTATAAATTACAAAAAAATTATAAATAAATATATAAAAAAAATTGACAGCAATTTAAAAAAACTCAGAGTGAACAACATTATTTGACATTTCCCAATTGTCTTACTTAACTAGAGAGATCCACATACCCCAAACCAAATAACTGACTAATTACTATTGAAGTGAACAATTAATTAATGCCATGATTATGATTATTGTAGTGCTGATGGACATCTAATTGTTGCAAATTATGAACAATGGGTTTGAGAAGACACTATTTACATGACAAGAAGCAAAATGATTTGTAAAACTCTAATTTGATTTTTTTTTATTTCTATTTTGTTTATGTCAAAGTATTTTTCTAAGACAAAGGGAGAAGAGACAAAACTATTAAACGTAATAATTCAATAATCTTTTATGTGCAACTTTTTTATTGCATTTTTGTCAATTGTATCTCAAATATTGACCCGACTTTTGTTAAGGGAGGATATAAATGTTACAACAATGGTGTTGTTGGTTACTCAAATGTCAAAAGTAGTTCTCTACGTCATTGATGTGGACTCATAGATTTTTTTTTTTCATGTTATACTAAATTTCCAACTTATATTGGTCCGATAATTTTTTTTCTTCCGTATAATATTGTTTTTTCCAAGTAAAGTGGCGGACCTTTGAAAGTTGCTGATCACGATGATGCACATCACTTCCCGCATTCATTTTTCCCTCGTCATAGACCAAGCCAACTTTTTCGTTATAAGCTGCCTCTACTGCCTATTGCCTTCTTCAGCATAATGACAAACGACATGAATTTAATTGTAAGGTTATCACTTCACAAACTAAAAAAATTGTTTTTATTTTGTTATAAAATCACTCCATTTCCTCCCTCTCATTCCGTAAACCCAACCTGCTTTCTTTTCCCAGCTCACATCATATTTCCACCTTCTTCCCTCCTCACTACACCCCAATTATGCTCATTCCAATCATATTTTCAATTTTAGTCATGTTTCTGATATTTTTCTCCTTTTCACTGGGATACTATGTAGCCCGGTATACATATGTGTGTGTATGGAATTGGTTACTCTCAAATTACACACAGATAATGTTATTGCATGTACGTTAACGATTCCTTGCTTGCTGAATTGTCCTTTGTTGATAACTAATAATTTTATGATTTGATTTATGCTTACAAGGTGTGAAGCTAGCACAGCCAGCGATATAACAAACTCATTCAATAACAAGGGTAATGGAACACAGGACTTCACCAACACAACAGTAATCATCATCAATGGAGAGTGGTCATATTGCTCAATGTTTAACTTGCAGGCTGGTAAGTTAGCAAATAGCCAAAAGTCTCTACTACACCAACTATTTTAAGGTTCCTCCTTTGGTTCGACACAAGGTGCAGTTAGCTTGTTTAAATGAGTAATTCATGGACATGTCGGAACTTAACCCACGTCACTAAGTGAACTCTAGTCCACTGGTTTGTCACCTACTCCGACACCCGTTTCAGTGAATTGAGTTTTCCAAAAGGAAAAGCGAAAATGGCTAAACCCCCGGAGCCGCCGCCGGCTGAGGCAGGCGATGGTGTTGATCCTGAAGGGTTGGCTGGAGCGCGCTGGCAGAAAAGCGATGTGGTGGTGGAAGGTGACAGAAGATACAAAGGAGTAAGGAAGAGGAAGTGGAAGTGGAACAACCATTGAAGTCCTTCATTTTAAACACCCACCCACTTGCACCACTTCATCATCCTTAATCCTTTGTATCTTCTGTCACCCTACACATCGCTTCTCTCTCCTGCTTCTCTTCTTCCTTCACCCTCCTTTCTCCTCTTCCCAAATCCACCATTCTCCATAAAACACGCTCTGCCTACTGATTCAGCAATTCCAATTCCAAGCCTCACGCTTCCAGGCCACAGGTCTTCTTCTCAGCCATCCAACAAGCACTTAATTAATAATCCTCGGTATAATTAATTAATCTGCTTATAAATGAATTAATAACAATAAAACAGAATCAACCATAATTTGATCTCTTATCTTTGACAGCATTTTGATAAGAAGCTCAAGCCTCGGTAAGTCAAATATGAGACTAACATTTGATGCATAGTTTTATTCGTTCCCATGATGGGATATAGATACGGAAAATGATGTGTTGAGAATTTCTAACCTTCCTAACTTTTTTTTTCTTTTTTCTTTTTCTTTTTCAATTTTCAATGTATTTTATTTTATTTCTTCCTTAATTTCACCCTAACGCAATTCTTTGTTACTTAAAAACGTATATCAGGTTCCTCTCCATAGAAGGCAATTTGCCCAATAACTAATAATTAATATACATTTCATATCTTGAAGGATGGCAACCTATTATTGGAAACTCTTTTAACAACGAGGGTGACGGTGTCCAAGACTTTCGAAATGCAACAATCATAATTCAAAGGTGAACCTGTACCTCAGCTTCTCCGGGACCCAGAGAGGATTGATTAAATATGTTTGATTTTTGCTGTAGTGTTTTCCAACACTTATAATCACAAAATGAATGATGATTTAATCTAATGAATGTTTGCCTTCCAACGTCATCCATTATTTTAAGCGACACTGTTCACTTGTTTATTGCCCTAACCTCTCTTTTCACTTACTTTAATAATTTTATCTTATCAGTTTATAGCAAATACAGAATTATATATATAATTAATTATTGTTCACCAATTTCCCTCTCTCGTCCGCACGTAATCCCCTCTACAGTTGAATTTTCGTCTTCATAAGAATTGACTTAGAGGCATTTTGGTTTGCCACATCCTCTACTAACCATGACCATAATAATTAAACAAAATGTATTAAACACGTGAGAAGGGCAATAAAAACAAAGAAACAAAAATAAGATACAGTAAATCAAGATCTAATTAGTGTGCAACAACTTATACATAACTTAATACAACATTTTCTTTATTTATTTTATTATCTCTCTTATATATGGGATAACATACTTTAATTATATTTTGCTTGTTTTCTACAAAAAAAACTCAAAATTTGTTAACGCAAGATTTTTAACTTACATTAGATAAGCTTTTCTTTCAAATCGAACAATGTTTGAAAGTAGCTTGACATTCTTGACATATGCTATTTTGTCATAAATGCGTATTTGATACTTAATATTATTATGCAAACAATACAATATGGATTTGTCTTTATCACACATAGAATAGTCTTAATCTTTTTTTTTTGTTTTAGTTAAAATTCGAAAACAGATTATAATATGCATCACAAAAATAATAATAATAAAATACATACAAAGTGATTATATATATATATATATATATATATATATATATATATATATATATATATATATATATATCTAAAGGAACAGATTATGACACTAATAAAATTTAAACATGTGTTAATATCTTCGTCTACTAATACAAAACTGGTAGAATTAGAATTTATATATAAAATATTATAAAATTATATTGTTATAATTTTGTTTACAAAATGTTATTAAATATTTCAGTAATGTTTTATTTAATACTTGGGACACGATTTGTTAAACCAATAAAAGCAAAAATAAAGAGTCATATTATTATTATATTTCATTAAACAAAATTTATGTAAGATATGTAGAAATGCAAATATATTTACAAAATTAATACTTTCTAAATGTCATATCATGTGAGCCATATTTGCAGTGGTTGGTCACAATAACCCTGAAGAATATCATACTCGTGAGAGGTGAAGCCTAGTAAATGGGCCAATTAAGGCCCAAAACTATTATGACCAAGTAGCAACTTGGGCCTAACTATGTCTCATGGACAATGAAGATCGTTCTTCAAGCATTTGATATTTTGTATATATATATATATATATATATATATATATATATATATATATATATATATATATATATATATATATAAGTTTATATTGCTCTGGAATAAAAAATAATTATTCAAATTAATTAATATTTTTTCTTCTAAAAGTAGTTAATTTATTAATGATATTAATCTTTTAGTTTGACTCTTTTATTTATTTAAGTTGATATTTTTAGTTATAATATACATAAAAGATAAAAATAGGAAATTAAGAATAAATAACATGTAAAATTATATCATCTCAAATAATATGCAAAAATAACATATTAATTTTATCCATATATTTAATTTATTTTATATTATAAAAATTTGAATTTATAATCAGATAAATGTGTCTAAGCTTAATTAGTGATATTTATCTATTTTAATATCCAAAATTCAAATTTTATCTATAACGTCATCAAATTTTTATAGATAATATAATATTATTTAAAATTTTTAATAATAATTAAATAATATAAATACAAATTAATAATCAAGATCCGGACATTAAATGGGATAAAACCAATATTTTTTAAATCGATAATAAGTGAAGACATGGGCCAATACTTAAAGCTTCAACCAATATTTAATAAAATAATATTTTTATATTATAATAAATATATTATAAATTTATTAGTAATTGTATATTTTTTAAAAGAAAATAATAATAAAAATGATTATTATGATCATTATAAATTAAAAAAATAAAATAAAATAATTATTATTTAAAATAAACGTAATTAACATGAGATAAAAAGATTAAAATATATTATATTTTTTATAAAAAAATATATATTACAAAAATTGAAACTAATTTTTTTATCAAAATCAAATTTAACCCAAAAATAAAAAAGATTTCTCCATTTTATCACAAATTTTTTTATTTTGTCTCAATTTAATCAAAATCTGATTATTTAAAAATAATAGACTGATTTTTTGTTTAAATATTGATTATATCAGTTAAATTGACTGATCCCATGCAATTTTCAAAATAGTGGATAGAATTAATATCTAATTAAAAATAAATAAAATAAAACTTCTACGTCACTCAAAATAAATAAATAAATATAAAATATAATAAATGTATAATTCAATATAAATAAATATAAAATATGACTAATATAAAACTAAAAATAAAAACATATTAAATGAGATTAAACATATCTCACTTATCAATTATAATTATGAATAAAAAATAAATAAAATGATAAATTTTAATTTTCTCTACCTTAATAATTATAAATAATACATCATAAAATTTCCAAAATTGTTTATATATTTTTTTCACTTCCAATCTCCCGTTCTCTTTATTATTTTTTTTTCTATTTTTCTCTTTCTCTCCTCTTTATTCTATTACATTAACCTCTCTTTATAACCATAATTATATATATTTTTTATTTTCATTCAATGAGAGAGATAATTACAAATTTTATTTTTTTAATGATAAAATGTTAACGAGATAAGGAATCTTATCTCTCTTTTTATTTTTATTTTTTATTATAATCAATAATTAATTAATTAATTAATTTTATTTTAATAATTAATAGTTATTTTTAAAAAATAATTTAAATTATGATTATTTTAATACATTTTTTAATAATAAGTTAATAATAATATTTCTTATATAAATGGTTCTTTTATTATAGAATTATTCAAATTATCTAAAATATTATAATTTAATATATTATATATAAAAAGAATTACGTTATAAATTTTGAAAAATATTGTTAATTATCAAAGTCAGCTTTGTCTTATTCCAATAACCTTTCCTGCATACAACTAAAATTTTAATTTTAATCAACAAATTTTGATTTTAGTATGCAGTATCTGGATACTGTGTAATGAACACAAAGTTTGTCATTATACATAGAATATGATCGGGCCAAGTTTATAAAATGGTTATATATATTTTGTATTCTTGTACTTTTTTAAAATTGAGTTTAATCTAACAAAAAAATTATTTAATTAAATTTACAATAATAAAAAATACTAAATATAAATTACATATAAAAATTTATTAAAATCATATTTAATCATTTTATCAATTCTATAACCATCAAAATTTACAATTAAATGTTAAATTTTAATATTAAAGAAAATAAAACATATTTTAAAAGTATCAGTTTGATCTTTAAAAATATAAACATCAATAACAATTTAAAAAAAAAATACAAGATAAAAATGATTATTCCTTTATAAAAATAACACCAGTGTTGTTTTCACTTTATTTTAGTATTATTCATTTTCTCTCATCTTCGCAAATAACACCCGTGTTCTTTTCCAAAATTTTACCCATACAGTTTCGTTTCGGCAAGGTACCTATATTTTAACACACAAAATAAATATATTAAGTATTATTATTTTTATTGTGTTAGAAGAACTTACATTATAAATTTGAATTCAGCTTAATTTTGTAAGTTAGGAATCCACTGAATTCATATTATTTTGACCAAATGTGACATTTTGTTCAAATATAAAGAATGATTTTAATTTGATACTATATTATCTCTTGTTATTAATGAGCAAGTTAAGTGAGTTTTTTTCATATAAAATATCAGTTTTTTTGGAAATCTTCAATTTTCATACCTTCTTCACATATTCACTTTAAAAAAGTGATTAATAATCCAGTTTTAAACTGAAGTTAAGTAATTTGAAAGAATTCTCTTGTAAAATTAATATCTTCTTAATGTCATGTGAGACATATTTACACTGTGGTTAGTCACACTAACCTGAAGAATATATCTCCCTTTAGAGATGTATCCTGACAAGCATATCGGGCCAACAGTCAAGGCCCACAATCGTTATGGCCTGGCAGCAACTTGGGCCCAAATATGCCCGACAATCCTTATGCATGCCAATTTTATTTTTATTTTTTATGTGAATTTACATTATTTGTATATCTGAAATATCTTTGGTTAATTACTATTATGTTATTTTTAGATGTCCAGTTCGAACTTCTTCTATGTTTTGTAATTTAGCATAAATATTGTATAAATGTTGGTGAAATTACTTTATTTTATTAAAATCATCAAAATTGATGAATAGGAGGATGGAAAACTTTGTCTAATTGATACCCTCAAATCACCTCTTTTCTACTGTCTTAAACAGTACCCACATAAATCTAAATAAACCATTAAAAATTATAATTTTCTTATTTGAAATAATATATTAATTATTTGAATGAATAAATATTATTAACTACAATTGCGTTATTAGAAATATAATATACTGATAATGGATATCATAACTTTTATTATAATAAACTGTCATATCATTCTATTGGAGTTTAAGTTTAAAATTAGAAACATATCTTCTGTTTTTGTTAAACATATACATGAAAAGTACATAAAATAAATTATAATAAAAATGCATAAAATCATAATAAAAAAATATGATGTGTGCTAAGAGTAGTGATTAATTAAAACCTTTATATATATGAAATAAATAGAATGCTTTTAATTATATTATAAAGTTTTAATTATTTTAATTAAGAGATATTAGTTAATTTATTTTAATTATTTTAATCACACTAGATATAAAATAGTTGATTGTAACTATATATTACGATAAGTGTGTTTTAAATTTAATAAAAAAACAGTAAAAATAATAATTTAATTATTTTAATATGCTTTAAAAATTATATGTTATATCAATTTCTGTTTTAATTTATATGAATAGTATATTAAACAATTTAGATTAATATAATTTAAAAGTAACTTTCGATATAAAAAATAATTTTTTAACTAAAATAAATAATAAATATATAATAAAAAGATGTCTTATATTTAATAGTATATAAAAACTGGTACATAACAATAAAAATCTCATAAATATGATTAATTTGATTCCTAAAATAAAAATTAGTTCCGGTGAATTGTGAAACATGTATGTTTAGACCTAAAATTTTTTCAACCAATGAGGGGTGGGTGTTTTGGTCCCAACCCGAATAAAAGGATTTTCTCATTATCTTCATAATTATTCCTCAACCTCTTGTTACGGTATAATAATAAAAATAAGTTGTATAAAATTATAGGTATTCACAACATAATTTTCAGAATATACAAAATATTAAAAATTTGATTTTTTTATGGACAAAAATCATCATTAAGAAAATCCATTAGTAAATAGATATTATTGACAAATTATAAATTAACAAAAATTTATCATCGATAATTATATTGTCGATAAAATTTATTGATAAATTTTTCTAGTCCGTCAATAATTACCGATAGATATATCAATGGAAAAATACTATGGGTAATTCCCGATGGACATTTTCACCTGTAAAATTTGATAAGTAGTCAATAAATCCATCAATAAAACTATCTTTATTTATAGTAGCTATTATTTTTTGTCTCTTCTCATATAACCTATAACATGTATAACATTTAGTTCATTTAACATTCTAATTCAACAATCTATTCAATAATCAAATTAAACAACATAAATCTAACTTAAATTAATAACAACTAAATTCAAATGTACTCTAGATTATCTACAATCTAATATAATGTATAATCCTAAAAAAGGTTAAAGATACAACTAGAATTGAAATATTGTTCTATTATTATTTCTACAAAATTTAATGGTAAGAATAATCAGGAGAATGATGTTTTGGTATGTTGTGTTCTTCTAGTGAGTTATATCTTGCTGTTTTTAATTCACTTTTTATTGTTGGGATTGTTCTTCCCTATCTGGTTGACTATGCTTGCGCTGATGAATGAGTGACTTGCACTGGTGATACAAATTGAACGACTGCACAGACAAGGAATTAGAACTCTCTAAATTGATGCTCTAGTTTCTCACCTGCTCCTTTGTTCGATGAATTTCTTTTTCTTGTGCACACAATCGTTGCCTCAATTGATTAATTTCTTCTCTAAGTCAATTAAGGAGTTGGATACTTGAGTTTGATGTTTGAGGCTTGTTGAAAGTCCCATATCGCCTACCTCATATCATCTGGTATGGTTTAAATACATGTTAGGCTACTCCACGTATTGCCAATTGGTTTTATGTTGGAACCTTAACATGGTATCAGAGCAAAAACTTAACATTTTTTCGGTTATTGTCATGGACCAAAAGTTGCCCTTTAATTGGGTCAAAAATACCCTTTGTCTGGTCCGGCCGACTTCGTAGGAGGGGGTGTGTTGAAAGACTCACGTTGATTTTATGTCTTAACCTTAAGAAGACTATTAGAATTATCCTAATAACCAAGAGCAAGCTCTCCAGTGGCATACAATTTTCCTTTATTCTTACCCCCAATTGTATCCACCCACCAACATAAAGAACATGATCTGCATAGTTAACATACACACCAGAGCAAGCATAAACCAAAACTAAATACACTAACCTACCATAATACACTTCATGTAGACTATACAAACCAAAAAAATAATATTTCCATTCAAACTCTAATCAAACCAGGACTAAACCCCAAACAAAACCAGTTTGAACCAATGCAAACCGGACAACCATAACCCAAAACCAAATAATATCATTCAAACTCAAATAAGACCAGTCTCGACCCCTCCAACATACAAACCTAAAATCAAGTTCAAATTCAATCTTGACCTATGCTGCATCAAACAAAAAAAAATGACTATGAACAAAACCACTCTCATATCCAATAGAATAAGGCAAAAGTAAAAAAAAAAAAAAGACAAACAACAAAGACATAATTAATCAACACAGCAATGAAAGAAGGAAAAATGCAAACAAACCCTCATGACGAGCTGAGATGGTTTAGGAAGGCGCAACCAAGGTGGATGAGCGGTGGAGAGGCGCGTAAGCAATGATGGAGGTAACGCGGTTAGGGTTTTGGTGAAGAAGGGAAAGGGGTATTAGAACAAGGGTGGAGGCTGCAACCGCGGAGACGGCACACGAAGATGGTTTCGGTGAATGCGAGATTAGAGTGAAGAAAAGTGAGGGTGGTGGGGGCTGCGGTTGGTTTTGCGATGGGCTTGCAAGTTGCGATGGTTCGCGGTGGAGATCTGTGGTGGTCGTGGGTGATGCTGCACAGAGGTCACACAACATGACTAAGGCTCTTGGTGGCCGATTGGTGGTAAAGGGGACTAGCTAGGAGGTATTGAGACTGACAATGAAGACACAATTGGTTCTATCTTTCAAAAATAAAAGAGTTTCATTATTTTATACCCATGTACCGACGGATATCCTTATTTGTATTTTACTGACGAACATTATCTACAAATTGTGTGTAAGGTGATTTTGTCAACTTAATAAATTTGTCGATAATGTTACCAACGAACATTATGTCATTATCGACAGAACCCATAAATTACCACCAGACTAACAGAAACATATGTTGAAAAATCCATCAATAAAGTTGAAAAAAAATGAAAATATATTTTTCAACAGATATTATCGAAGATAGTTTCACTTTGACGAACATTAAATATCTTGAAAAAATTATGGAAAAACATTTATATATATATATATATATATATATATATATATTTTTTTTTTGGAGTGGATGTAATTTATAATTTTTAGACATAAAAGTATAATTATTTTAGAAAGAATTAAAATATTTTAATTTTTTTTTTAAAATTAAAAACTTAAAATTGTTATTGTTTTTGTTTTTCGTTTTTCGTTTTTTCTTAAATGTCCTTTCATAGTTGTCAGTCACCTTTCATTGATAAAAAGAAAAAGAAAATAATAATAATAAATCAAAAGCAAGTGTACATGTGTAGTTTCCTGTGCAACTTTGTGTTTAAATAACATTATTTAAAGATTATATATATATATATATATATATATATATATATATATATGTATAATTTTTATAATATGGTTGAAAATGAAAAAGCAAAATCCAAATTAAGTTGTTATATAAACTAGGTCAGACGTTTGGCAGATTCAAGCAACCGTATAACATATATTATCACTCTACAATATTTGTTGTAGATCATTATTAATTTAACATGTAAATCAAAATATTTTTTGAATGTTTGTTTTACTCTTTAAATTAAACAAAAAAAACATATAAAATATTAAAATCAAATTATTAATAATTTAGTTGAATAAAATATTTTAACTCATTAATACATTCATCTTATTTTATTTAAAATCCAAGGAATCTATTTATGATGCATAAAATTATTATATAGTTGAATTAAATAAATTAATTGTCGAATATCTCCATTTGAAATCAAATGTCCTATTTCTTTCATGTAAAATAGTTCCATGTGTTTGAAATCTATGTTAGAAATAACGGAATGTCATGTTTTGTGGTTATATCAAACTTGGCCTAACACATCAATTCAGAAATTGTTTACTATAAAAAAAAAAGCCCATGTCCCTACATTATTTTACAAAGTTTAGATATATTATATAAGATTAATTTTACGATAATAAATGCAAATACGATATTAAGATATAATAATAATAATAAAACAGATAAAATATTATAAATAGAACATGAAGAACAAATCGACTGTACAATTATATACATATTGATGGACATTGTCGTTGAATAAATCATTTTACTAATGTCTCATTTGAATTGAAAAAGCATTCTTATTTCACATGAAAAATCGGTCTATATGGAATAAGATAATAGCTTATGAAAAAACACAGTTCATTCGTGTCCCATTTGAATGGAAAATTAATATATTACGATAGAAATCGATCCACTATATTCAATAAGAAATAAAAAAAATAAAAAAGTAAAAAGAAAATAATTCAACATATAATTAAAAGTAACACATAGTTATCATCAATTATACTAGCCTTTTAGTTTGTCAGTACTCTACAAACTAAACAGTTTTGAGTCAATACTATACAATATAATTTATCAGTGAAATGTAGAGTTCATCAGCACAATCAAAAGTCTTTAAATTAAACTGAGAGTAATTAAAGTTAATGGAATTTGTAGCAAACATGACTCACCTTATCTCATTATTCAGGGGTACATCGTTATCATGACTCATAACACAATCAGTTGTACAATAGGTCTTGCGCTCTTTATGTAATCATAGCTTGAATGCCATAAATTGAACTTCACTTCAATCAAGCGTGCAAAGGGAAATTGTCGTACATTGAAGTTTATGAAGTTTTTTTTTTAAATTGAATGAACTATATTTTAAATTGTTTGGAAAAAAAAAAAACCATTGATAATCATGAGGGCACATGAAGACTATAAAATTAATTTTCATATAATAAGAAAAAAAAAACAAGAGGTATGCCAGGGGTCTAGATGTAGGGTTTTTAGGTGACAGGGGTGGTCCAGATGTATGGCTTTTAGGTGACAGGGGCCCTGGCCTGTGCCAAACTCTCTTCAATATCATTTCTTCATAATTTTATTTCTACCTTATAAATTAAATTTTAGATACTTTTTAATGTTAAGAGGTACAATATATTTTATTTTTAAATAACAAAAAGTAATTTTTATATGTTGAAATGATATAATATAGAAAAAGGAAATTAATTATAAGGGTATTTTATACTTATAAGTGTATTTTTTTTATCAAGACATGAAAAATATAAAATATGAGTGAATGAGCAACAAAAGTAGTCAGGCGACTAAATATTTGAAAGTTATCCAGATTCTAAATTATATTACTCATAAGATAAAACTTATAAATACAGATTTTTATTATTTATTGTTTATTGAAAAAAGTAACACCAGTATCCATTAATTAATTAATTAATTATTTATGTTTAGAGTTCCAAATTTTGGTTAAAGTTCCGTGGACATACACACCGTGCTTGTATCTAAGCAAAAGAAAAATAATTTGTTTAGTAATTTTGTCCCCTGTTCTTCATCCCAGCAGGAAAAAAAAAACCTCCATTTTCTACGATGACAGATCTTTGGTGTCATCATTTGAAGGTTCATTGTCAAGGCTTTGCAAGTTCATCAAATCAACACAATAGGAGAATGAATGATGATGATCATGATCATGGACTGATTATATTTGGATTAAATGATAAATTTGAAAGAATGAAAAAAAAAAAGAGAGAGTTTAGATTAAGAGAAAAAAAGTAATAAATGAAAAATAAAAAAATTATTTAGAGTAACTATTTTATTTATTATTTAAATATATTTATTTTTATAATATTAAATAAAAATATATAAAATTAAAAAATTTATATAATTGATTATTTTCTAAATAATAATTGACTATGTCGTAAATCAGTCTATTTTTTCGTTATAAAGTGTGTGAAAGTATAAATGGTCTGACTTATTTATTTTAATATTAAAATGTGGAAAATGCATGTATTTCTGCGCTTTCCAACTTTCCTCCCTTATAAACCACATGATAATTTGATAATTAAGTATTAAAAAAACAAGTTATACACAATAATAGCACAATAATAAAATTTATTATTATATTATTATAAAAAATTATCTATTTGTTGTTGTTTTTTACCGACTGTCAATATAAAATCACCTTATAAACAAACATACAAGGAAGAGCCAGGTAATATCTTCCTTGGTACAAGTGTCATTTGTTAAAATTAATTTAATTCATTTTATTATGATTCATGAAAAATATATTAATAAATATAAATATGATTTAATAAACTATCACTACAATAAAAACATCAAATAATGACCGAAAATTCGGTCACTAAATGTGCAAAATCGGTTACTAATTAAAATAGTGACCGAAATAGTGACTAACCTGGAATCGGTCACTATTTCCTTGGTCATCGATTTTAGTGACCGAATATATATAATCAAATCTGGTCATTGATTCGATCACTAAATCAATGAAAAAGAATAATAAATTTAATTATTTTTATTTATTTACATTTTTATTATATCTATTATTTATTTTCCCTATCTCTTAATTATATTATATTTTTTAGAAGTTTAACTTATTATTAGGTAGTTTATTGTCATTGTCAGGATTCGAACCCGGTACCTTAGAGATGGAGGTTGAAACTCCAACCACTGAGCTACTAGGATCTTTTAATAATAACTTACAAATAAATTATATTTATATACAAATAAATGTATATCCAGTATAAATATATAAATATAAAATCTATAAATAAAAATATATTTATATATTTAAATATTGATATATTTAAATATTTATATATTTAAATATTGATATATTTAAATATTGATATATTTAAATATTGATATATTTAAATATTGATATATTTAAATATTGATATATTTATATATTGATATATTTATATCTTTATATTTTTACATATATTTATATTTTTATATATTTATATCTTCATATTTTTACATATATTTATATGTTTTCATATTTATATATAAAGATATTAGTTTTCTATACAAATAATATTATAATATAGTATATTATACTATTAGTATAGTATACAAATAATATATTAGTATAGTATAGTATACAAATTATTAATTTTGTAATTTATATACAATGAAAATAATATAATGGTATATTAGTATAGTATAGTATATTTGTATTCTAATTTTTAATTAAATTAAAATTATGCTAATAATTTATATTAATATATGAGGGGATAATATTGATATATTGATATATTTGTATATATATATATATATATTTATATATTTATATATTTATATATTTATATATTAATATATTAATATATTTATATATTTATATATTTATATATTTATATTTTGATATATTTATATATTTATATATTTATTTATATCCTTATACATTTATATCTTTATATATTTATATATTTGAAAAAAAAATATTAAATTTTAAAAATAATATTATATTTTTAAAAATAAATATAAGAAAAAGATTTAAAAATATATATAAATTATATTTACATTTACAAAATATTAAAGATATATGTTTATATCTTTACATATTTATATATATTTATATATTTATATGTTTATATTTACTTCTAATAGCGGTTGCACCATCGCTCGAGCAAGATTAGAGTCGCTCAGCGAAATACAACCCGAGAATGCCAATTTTGTGCATGGGGCATTTCGCTCGAGCGAGAACATTGGTCGCTCAAGCGAGATACGGTTTAGATAGCGGTTACACACGAACCGCTCTTAAAAGCTCACTTAGATAGCGGTTAAC